GCACTCATAAGTCGGATAGTATCCGACATATGAAAATACCAAATCAAATTCATATATCTGTAAATTCATTGGTTCTAATTTTGGAATCTGATTTTATTTCAGGGCAGTTATACAATTTTAAATTAATTTCAGGTAATTTTCCATCAGAAATGGGGTTGAAATGTTTAATATGTATCCAATCTGAGTTTGAGATTTTAATTTTTTATTTCGCGTCCCCTCGCTCATGCTGGTGTGTATTTGTGTATGTACATAGCACTAATCATGTTACAACATAGTCCATGTTTACTACGGACGTAAAACAAAAAGTATTCATGCCATCGAAAAACTGTCTTCAGGGCCTATAGTCAGTTTTCTATTCTCTACAAATCGCGTGGGTTTGTTTCTTGGATATTCTTCTTATTAATATAGCAATCGGTTGGTTTATATAATACCCCCTATAACTTGGATAGTATCCGGATTCCACTTTTTTGTTTTTGGGCCAAAAATATGAAATCCGGATAGTATCCGAGTTAAAACGAGACTGGTGATATATTTTTAATACTGTTTATATTTTTGTTTTTTATTATAGAAGAAGGCTATATTTTTTGCAAAACAATCTTTTATAAATATTTAAGTGTTCACAAAATAAGATAAATAAATATATCGATTCCGCCTACCGTCACAACAACGCGTAGGCACAAGCGCTTTAGAATATTCCAGAGCTTCGCGGTATCACTCAAGTACTTGTCAGTCTAACATTTACCCTCGACTATATTACATTTCTATCTCCCATATCAAGAATGGCTCTTGCCTGAAGGTAGCTAAAACTCTAGCACAAACCCAGAATTGGGACATACGACAGCTGCAGGCATGAAAAAAGACAAAGAGGGCAAAAAATCTAAGGGGACTCCGACTCACCGTTCTTCAAAGGTGTGCACGCCACTATGGACATATCGAGAGCACGAATGTGTTGGTGCTAATCCAATAGTCACACCAACTGAGCTAACCCAAGTAATACACAAATACAAATAACCCAATGATCAGCTAAGTTGGACCGGTACTAATAGTCGTTTTGTTTCTGGACTGCATACGCACGTGTATGTGTGAAACCAGGCGGGCCGTGTATCGTACTATAGCAAGAAGTCATCGGCATAACTGTTACACTTGAAATATTGAACTAAGAAATACAAATGCGAGAGTCTGCAGTTTGAGTGCTATACTAATAATTCACAAGGTTTGAGGCTATTTGCAGGCACCTGAATAAATGCATCAGTATGCTACATGTCAATATTTACTTTAGATTCAGTGCCTTGTTGCAACTCTGTCACTGATAACGCAAAGGAGACTTACACTCTATTTGCTAAGCGCTGATTAACACATATAACCTGTACTGTATTCTGAAGCCCTCCGTTCACGATGCCGCCACGTCACTGGAGTTACAACAGAAGGACTTGCTCAAAAAAGTAGCGACTTCCTCCAGCAGGAACTCATCGAAAAGCATCTTTAATTGGATTCGCCGCAAGGGCTCCTCGACGAGTTTTATTGGAATTGGAACAAGTGCTGACAGCTCTTTAACCCCAGACGATTCTTTAGGAGGGGCCGGCACAGTTCGGTGTGTTTCCTGTAGTATATTCTGAAATCCTTTTCGGACAATGCACAACAGGTGTACCACAGATAATTGAAATTAATCGTTTACATGCAAACGCATATAATTTTTTCCAGCAAGTGTTACTCAGTAGTTTTCTATCGTAGTATGTGCCCTGAGTATTGCGCGCCATCTGTATTTATTTACGTCTAGCATTTGCACACAAAGGTAGCTTAATATCAATTGCTCACTTTTATTTCACAAGCATATATTGGCTGCTTAAGTATATACTGGAAATGTTATATGCTTATATATGTACATATACATAATAATGAGAATGTAAATATTAAGATCGATGACCGTAGGTCTCCAGGCAATTGTAATGATAGTGTATATCTTTTGTTCCGTATATCTATTAAATTATATGGAATTTCAGACACACACACAAACACACACACACACACACGCACACACACACACATACACATACACACACACACGCACACATACGCATACGCATACACATACACATACACATACACACACACAC